TTAGTTTCTAGGCAATCGATATATGAACTCATAAGTTACCCACATGTTATTTTTTTCTTATTTAAGATGAGAATATTTACAAAAATCTACATTTGCCTTAAAAAAAATCCATACTCAGTGGTTTTCAATTACTCAGATGAATAATTTAAGAGGAGAGACTTGAGTGGGTGTGGTAACTGGTGTTCACAGTAAGGGTGGAGAAAGAGCAGAAGAATAAAAGCACAAACATGCTGTGTGTTGGGTCTTTAACTTAAGCCTGCTTGACAGCACCTGCTTTTCCAAAAAGGATTACACAGCTGGCATGTATGTGTCACTCCTTATGAACTTGTCAGGTAAATCTTAGGTATTAAAAAGAAGACACAGCATTTCACCAGTATACATTTCTGCTTGTGCCATATTTGGTATATTTTACAGTATATTTCTCAGTTTATTTTACTAAATGTCTCATTATAATCGTGATCTCCACGCACACAGAAACCAGCTCTCAAACACTGGCCACACAGTGTGCCCTGTGCGACCTCACCCATGATTAGACAGTGTTAACGTGGGTGTGGAGGAAAACATGAGAGCTGCCAAACATAAATATATCCATGCTGTATATAGCAGCCTCAGATTCTCTAATACACAAGGCCAGTCTGGTGGCCCAGATCTGAGGAAAGCAGATACTGTGGCAGGGTCACCATGGGGGACTTTCCTGCCTGAGCCCCTCTCAGATTCAAGAATAGCAAGTCATCAAACCTGGCATCCAGGCAGCTTTACCTCAGGAACAACACAATTCAGGTCAGTAAGCATTCTGATACAAATGTGTGTGTATGTGTAGTATGCACTGAAAGTGGTGCTCAAGTAATGCTTAAACACTCATAAGTGCCAGGCAACACAATACAAACAGAAACTTTCCTGCAGGGGAACATCCATACACTTGTATAATTAATGCAGGATTATTATCAATATCAGCAAAACACTACTACCCGCTCGAATAAGAACAGCGCTGCATTGCTACGACACGCTCCACTCAGACGGAGCTGTGGGTGTTTATCCCTGCGCGTTGGCGTGCATGAAAGCAATCGCACACGTGGGCAGCCATTGCATAAACATCACATACTGCATAAACATCGTTGAGGCACTTGATTGAATACAGCCATGGAAGCCCAAAGGGAAAAAAGCAGCGCGGGGGAGAAGGTCAGCTCGCCTGTTGTCGCTCCTTCAAATCAGATTCCTTTTAAAGGAACAGAGACACCCAGCAACCTGCCTCGTACCAAACAAACACACTTGTTCAGGCTTCTTTTTTCTTTTTTTAAAATATAAGAGGCATTAGAGACAAATATG